AGAGAGAGAGAGAGAGAGAGGAGCGATACAAGATTGGTTGTGTGGTCCAAGGAAGGAAGTGGCGGCCATAGCCGCTGAGCTCGGACATGGAGTAAACAAAGAAGAAAGACGATCGAGATAAGGAGGAGGGAGAGATGAAGAGGAAAGAGAGGGAAGCCATAGCTGAGGACGAGAAAGGAGAGACAAAGAGGAAAGAGAAGCCATAGCCGGGGTGAAGAAGAAAGAAGGAAGGAGAGAGAAAGGAGTCGGCAGCCATAGCCGAATTGAGAGTTGACCAAGGCGTTGACAGGGAGTTGACTGGGGTTGGCCGAGGCGTTGACCAAGGTGTTGACCGGGGTTGACCGGGAAGTTGAGCAGCATTGACCAGTGTTGACCGGAGCTGTTGACCATGAATTTGACCAAGCTGGAGTTGGTATACTCTCGCCAAGCCTTCAACCTATCCCCTCGCCCTATGGATGTGCACTCACCCCCTAGTACTTGCTGAGTCTGTCTGTCTCTTCTTTCTGCATTGAGTCTCTTTTGTCCAGGTGATAGGAACTCCGTGCATGAGGTCGTAGAGTTGTGTTGACCAAACCCACGTGAGCTGAGTAGGGCTTAAGTCCATGTCTGACGACTGACTGACCCAGAGGACAAACCCTCCCAAGGACAGGTACAGACCGGCGGGCTGCTCAATGTGGCATGGTAGGCCCAAAATCCGAGCTATGGACTGCACAACCAGCTGTCTAAGTCTTGAGAGGACTTGCTGATCGCGCCGTCTTGTTTGCGATGTTAAACAATCCTGAGGAATTATGGGGGATCTCCTTAAATGCATCCTCATCAGCACTGAAGTCCTATAGTGACAGCCTAGTAGTAGATTCAGGCTAGAGACCCTGGTTGACAATTAGTTCGAACACTGAAGTCCGATGGCCAAACTTGGACGGGACGGAACCACTTCCTTTTTCTTGCAGATCGGAAATAGCTTAATGGTAGAGTATAGCCTTGCCAAGGCTAAGGTTGAGGGTTCAAATCCCTTGGTCCCAAAAGAATTTTGTGGTCCTTAGAGAGTCATTCAATTAGTTTTGGTCAGTGGGTGGAGGTCTAATTGGTGAGGAGTGGAACTGTCACTCGGTTGTGCATCTGTCACCATGGTGGACACGTGTAGCGGTAAGAGCACCACCCCGTACACCAAGGCTCGGGAAGAGCAAACCGCCACCGTATTAAAAGAGAGAAAAGAGAAGGAGGCCAAGAAGGAGAGGCCAAGAAGGAGTTGATTAAGCAGGCCAATAAGTTGGCCTTATTGGAGGAGCAGGCGACAAAGAAAAATAAGTTGCAGGAGGAGATGGAGAAGCCGCAAAGAGAAGAAGAAGAAAAGTGAAAGCAGTAGAAGAAGAAGAAGTGGAAGAGGAAGTAGAGGAAGAAGTCCCCTTGATCAGAACCGTCACAAGAGAGAGAGGGGAGACCAGTGGTACGGAGAAGGACCCATGGATGGAGAAGGTGTCTGAGTGGGTCGCCAATCTATCCCTGGGAGAGGAAGAGGCAGCGGCGTTATACGTATCGAGGGCAAAACAGGAGGCAGAAATGAGAGAATGTTAGGCGAAAGAAGACCCTCTACGTCGCGAGTCGCCAAACGATCGAAGAGGAGAAGAAGTTGGAGTGGAAGTTGCGTTTAAGCAGAGAAAAGAAAAAGTGGATGGAGGCGGCAAGTAAGGTGGCGAAAGAGTTGGAGGTGGTGAAGGAGCAAAGGGCGCAGATGGAGGCGCAGCCAGATTGGCAAGGAAAGATGGAAGTTATGGCTAGGAATATAGAACTCCTGGCGAAGGCCCAAGAAGAGCAGTTTCAGTTTGCGAGGGGCCAAGATGTAGCCTTGCGATCCATACGATTGGGCTTTAGAGAATTCACACAAGAGATGATGATGCACGTGGGCACAAAAGTGAAAGCGAGGATGGAGAGCACGGAGCGATTTTGCACAGGCGCCATAGAAGGCGCAAAGCTTGTTACTCCAAGGGAGAAGGAAGCTCGCCCCCGTAGAGTTGTGTGTCCGAAAACGGATGCAACGGGGGATCCCCATTGAAAGATTCAACAAGAGTGAATCTGCGTTGAATCCCGTTGAAACGCCCGTTGGACGGGTATAAACGGGGTCCGTGATGATTTTTTTCCTAGGCTAAACATAATCCAAATATATATATGTATATATATATGGGGTTGTAGATCTTTTCGAGGACTACAACCCCATATTTTTAGTTTTTTTTTTTGAACTTTAAATGTATTTCAAAAAAAAATACATAAACACAATGAAAAAAAAATAAAAATAAAAAATGAAATGAGTGTTTTTTTTTTTGGGTTTCACATAGATTTTTTAAATGCGAAAACAAAGACAGAAAAACAAATAAAAAATATAGGGTTTCAGATCTTTCAAAGATGTACAACAACATTATTCTTTTTGTTTTGTTTTGAACTTCGTGTATTTAAAAAAAAATCAAAACCATAAAAAAAAATTAATAAATGTGATGACCCGACCAAACAGGGACTGAAACACAACTGATTTCTGAGTTTTCCTCATAGACTGAATGCCTTGCTAAGTTCCCCGCTTGCTACTAAGTTCTCTAAGTCTGTGTGTATGCACGCTTGCTGGACTGCATGTCTGTCTGAGTGCTGGTTGGCTATAGTGTGTGTGTGGCCCGCAAGGGCACTTGTTCGTTCTTTGGGCCCTCAGGGCCGGTACTTACCGGTGGCCGTGACATAGAGGGATTCCAGCGGGGGAAAACACTCAAGTAGCAGGTAGGCCGGTACTGCACCCTGAAGAGGTAGATGTGCGGGTATTGGAGGCCAAGCAGAAGAAGACCAAAGTGGAATTTTGAAGAGGCCCAGTAGTTGTAGGCTAGGTCTAGGCGGGTACCAGTCCAACCAGTCTGAGTCTAGGGCCTGTACGGGCAATATCAGAGTCCGCAATGATGTTTCCCTCCGAAAGGGAGGAGGTACCGGTTGCTTGGGAAGGCCGAGCGGCCTGGAAGTCATCGCCCAAGAGGCAAGCAGGCCGCTATATCTCCAGGCCGGGCGAAAAGCCCAGCCTCATTGTCGGTGTGCAAGTTTAGCGACACACTGGTTGGAGCGCTGGCTGGAGCAGTGCTGGCTGGGAGCAGTGCTGCTGGGGAAGAAGCAAGGACTCGGAGGAGGAAGAACGACAGGAAGGGGGAGGAGCGCCAGAGGTACTTACCTCGCTATGGTGGCAGCCATCTTCATCTTCTTGGTGGGCGCTGCAGCAGGAAGGCCCCAGCTGGGTTTGAGCTACACCAAGAAGCTTCGAGGCAGAAGTCAGGCATGGCGGCCTGAGCTAGGGCAGCCATAGCTACTTTGGGTTGTCCTTTGGACATCTGGGCAAGGCCTAGTAGTCCGCCATAGCCTCGGCCTATGAGAGTGAAGAGTGGGAGAGGCGGCCATGGCTATGGTGGACCTCAAGTGATATCTGCGGTAGAAGAAGGATTCGTACTTTGATTCTGGTTCAGCTATCCAACATTGTGTTATTACTTCTTGTGTGAATTGCAATCAGACTCGTTCTCATTCACACTTTTCATGCATGTAAACAGTAGCGCAGCAAACTGGCGACATGCGCCCACTTAAAACTCAGAGATATGGCATCCAGACACGAGTTCACTTTCAATTGGCTATGGCGACTCAGCGCCCAAACAACTCACTGTTCACATACACCGGATCACCCTGGATATCCCACACGCGACTCTCAGACTCACACAACACACACACACACACACAAATTCTAGCTATGGCGGCTATGGCCGCAACTACCCTATCGCTATGCTACACCCTCCTCTCTTGCCCCCTTCGGCTCCGGGCTCTCTGCAGACCTCCTTGCACAAGTCGCTGTGGCAGCGCTTCCGCATGGCTCGCGCAGGAATGAATGAATGGCTGGGCGCTGCCCCTTGATTTATACTTCTGAAACTCGTTGGTCTGCCCTCTTCCATCGGCCCATGGTGCTCACAGTCCCTTGTGGTACTTGCTAGACCGGACTGGGACTGACTGGACCTTACCGCTGACTGAGTGGGGACTCACTGCTAACCTACCACCGTCGTACTGCAATTGCACTGCAGTTTAGTCCACCACTTGACTCACCACTTGCCCACTTGCCCACTTGCTAACCTTCTAGAAGGCTACAGCTAGGACTTCTAGGCTTCGCTAGGACTTCTATCCTACAGGTCTAGAGATCGAACCCCTGCTACCTACGGACCTATGACAGCCTATCAACTGTTTACGAATACACAGGTCACAGGTTCAACTCTCGGGGTCTACACAGGTACTGTACAGAGGTAGGGCAAGGTCTAGAGATCGAACCCTGGGATCTGCGTCTGCTACTGCAAAGAGGTGAAAACCATTTCACTCCCACCGTCCTAAATTCGAGGTCCTCCGAGAATATTTCAGTACAAGGCAGGACCTTTACCCTTCTTATCACGCTCATAGGCTCTGACTATGTCGGCAGCTGTTTCTAGAAGTTCTGCCCTTGTAAACCAGCGGTCGTCTTCCGGTTCCTGATAAGCAAACCGGACCTTATACTGTTTCTGGGGACGACCTCTACCTCCTGTTTTGAATACATCCTCATCTACAATGCCGTCAATGTCATAACTTCCGTCCATATCCAGGGGGGTCATGGATCTTCTTGAAGGGAACTGTTGACTTGTGACACATGGCAACAGCTTTGAGGCATGAAATACAGGATAAGTGTGGAGGTGCGCCGGAATCTCTATAGTGTAGGACGGTCCATCCTCTCCACCCTTGACTTCTAGAACCGGCCACGGTCCTCTATATGCAGGCAGTAACTTCTGTGAGACGTTCTCCTCAGGTGCAAACTCTTTAGACTTGATCCAGACTAAGTCGCCTACCTGAAACTGCAATGGGCGACGGTGCTTATTAGCCTGTTCTATCATTCTGTGCTGGGCCTTCCTGAGGTTTTCAACAACGGTTGCTATCTCTTTCTCGTGCTGTATCGCGAACTCCCTGGTACCGGGCGATAGCCTGTGAATCTGATCCCGGTTCAGCCCTTCAAACGGTCTGCGCGGTCTAAAGGACTTGTGCAACTCATTGGGAGTGCGACAGGTAGACAGATGCACGCTGTTGTTATAAGCACTAGCTACCTTGGGTAACATCTCGTCCCAGTTGATCTGATCCGGCCTAATGTACATGCGCAGAACTTGCTGCAGGATCTTGTTCATCTGTTCAGTCTGACCGTTAGTTTCTGGATGGCGGCCAGACGACATCAGCAACTTTGACCCATAGACTCTCATAAGTTCCTGCCAGTTCTGGCTAGTGAAGCGGCTATCTCTATCGCTAACTATCGACAACGGGACTCCATGTTCACTGACCCAAAAATCAAAGAACTTCTGAATGACTAAATCGGTACGTGCCTCTGCAGGCAAAGGAATAAAAACAGCATACTTACTAAAACGGTCAACTATGACCATGACTTGGCTCTTGCCATGCCTACTCTTGACCTGAGTATCCATGAAGTCTATGGACACGGAATCTCCAGGCTGACCAGGAATAGGTAGAGGTCTGAGAAGACCTAGAGGTGCGCACGTAGTAGTCTTATTCCTCTGGCACACTTTACAACTGCGAACATACTCTATGCAGTCATTTTTCATCCCTGGCCAGGTGTACGCACGCAACAGATTGGCTAATGTCTTTTGCCAACCAAAGTGTCCCTCTGTGTCATGGCATTCCCCTAGGATCAGACTGCAGATTTCCTCACTGTTGGGAACGCATAGGCGGTCGAATACATCCGTCTTCTCAAACAGCAATCCTTCTGTAGTGCGGTAGTGTGGTTCGGTCTCTGGGGCCTCCTTAACTCTCTTGARGAGGTCACTATAGATAGGGTCCTGCGCATATGCTTGCCTCACTTTCTCCTGCAGGTCTCTCCCTATATCCAGATAGTGTATTATGGCTCCAAAGTAGTTTGATCTCCTACTCAGAGCATCCGCAACTACGTTGTACTTGCCCTTCACAGGCTTAAGCTCAAAGTCATACTGGTCTATCTCAGCGGCCCACCTAGTTAACTTAGGTGTCATCTTGGCCTGAGTCTTTAACCATCGAAGCGTTTCATGGTCAGAATACACTTTGAAGTGCCTCCCAAGCAGGTAATGCTTCCAATGCTCTAAGGCCTGCCTGAGAGCGTAGAGTTCTCTCTCATATGTCGAGGTGGCTACTTTCTTTGAAGGCATCCTCGCTGACATGAACTCTACGGGTCTGTAGCCATTGTCGTCGTCTTGCTGCAACACGGCGCCTATACCATACCGACTTGCGTCCGTGGTGACGACAAATGGCAAAGACAGACCAGCCACTCTGAGGACAGGGTATTCTATTAACGCGCGCTTCAGTCTCTTTAGCGCAGACGTACAATCTTTGTCCCATTGCCAGATTGCCCCTTTCTTAAGCAACCTGCGCAAGGGAGCGGCGATAGTAGATAAGTTCCTCACGAACTTTCTATAGTAGTTAGCTAGGCCTAAGAACGACCGCAACTCTGTCAATGTGCGGGGCGTCGGTTAGTCTCTAATCGCCGCGATCTTGCTGTCCTCTGGCTTAATGCCATCTCCATCTAATACGTGGCCCAAGTAAAAGACTTGTGTCTTGGCCCACTCGCACTTCTTTGCGTTGATCTTGAAGTTAGCCTCTCGTAGCTTCTCCAAGACCTGCCTCAGATGACCCTGGTGCTTCTGGAGGGTCCTACTGAAAACTAATATATCATCTAAGTAGACCACTACAAACTTGTCTAACCATGGCCTGAACAAATCATTCATACAACACTGAAAGGTGGCTGGCGCGTTGGTTAGTCCAAAGGGCATCACTATGAACTTATAATGCCCATATCTAGTCTGGAACGCAGTCTTGTACTGGTCATCAGGATGGACTTCTATCTGATGGTATCCGGACTTCAAATCTATCTTAGAAAAATACTTGCAACCCTGCACCCGATCTAGAAGATCGTATATTCTGGGCAGCGGCTCAACATTCTTCACAGTAATCGCATTCAAACCCCTATAGTCTATACACATACAAAGCTCTCCTTCCTTTTTGGGGACAAACAGAACTGGTGCTCCAAAAGGAGACGAACTGGGCCTGATCCAACCTTTCTCTAGGAGATCGTCCAACTGCTTGCATAGTTCCTCTAACTCCCTAGGGGACATCCTGTAGACTGCTCCCTTAGGAGTCCTACTGCCAGGCTTTATCTCTATCCTGTGCTAGATGGGTTGCGACACTACTCCTGTCGGCGACTCAGTCAAGTCTTTAAAGTCCTCCAGCAGCTTGGCAATGGTTGGATCTGTGGAACTTACCTCTTCCTTAGCCTCAGTGACAGGTCTGACATAAACTACAAAGACCTGGTCCTCTAATTGCTCCTTTTTCACTAGTCGCGCGAACGCGGGAGCACTGAGACAGCAATGTGCCAAGGTGTTATCTACACCTGACACATGAAACAGGCGGGCAGTCTTAACCTCGCCTAACGGACTAGGGAGCCTACACTCATGCTCTCTTAAGTGGAGTGTGGCCCCTGCTGCCTCTCCCCAATCCATTCCTAACACTATGTCGAAAGGAAGGGCATTCTGTACGAGGAGAGTCAGGGAATGGAAAACTTTCTCCACCTTCCCATCTTTCTCTAGGCGAAAGTATGCCTGGACTCCCTCTACGTAGTCCTCAACTCGCATTGTGCGGTTGTCTGCAAGGACACTCTACGGGTAGCCCTTGAGTCTATAAGGGCCCCTACTATACTTCTAAAAACTTCTACATCAACTAAGATTAGTTGTCCCTTACTCTCCTTCTTCATTTTGGCCCAGGCTGGCATCCTCTCCTTCAATTCTTCTGCCACACCTGTGAGGGACGTGCCTAGAGAGACGCTAACACAAGCAGTCTCTGGACAACTAGCTAGGCACGGGCCTGCAACCTCTGCCATAGGCCCATGTGGTTTGGGAGTTTCCTGTTGTTGGGCAGCCCAACGGGCCTGTCTATACTTAGGACAAAATTTTATTACATGGGCCGGGTCAGCACAGAATACGCACTAACCCAGGTCCACGCGTTCCCGCCATACGCGTTGGTCCAAGCCCAAGTCTTCCTACGGCCTGCCCTGTGGCAAGCCTGGGTGCCATCCTCCTTGAGGTGCCCTTCCACCTCGTCGTTGTGGGGACCGAAGAACCTTGACGATTTGGCGGGGGACCTTGACCCCTACCTCCCACTTGGCGGTTCCCTTGTCCGCCAACCCCCTGTGCGCTCGGTCCTCGGCCTCCCATGGCCTGGCCCCTTTGGCCCTGGCCTCCTCCTCTACTTTGCGGCCTCCCTCCAGCCGCGACAGCAACATAGGACCTCCCCTGCCCCACGCTACTATCCTCCTCCTCAAGGCCCCATTCGATATGGGACCTCATTTGTACCACCCTCCTCTAAGGTAAGGATCATATGATCCTTGGCCCTGACTTGGCTAGAGATGGTACGACCTTTCCACTTTTTGCCCTTGTCTAAGTCCTTATGCCAGAAAGTGGAAACTGGCATGGACTTGGCCTCAAACAGCACCACCTCTCTACTGAGCGCGTCGTACGTCATGGTGGGTTGTTGGGACTCGTCAAAGAAGTGCCCACGCAGGGGCTCTGGCATGGCACGATAAAATAGCTGGACCAACTGGGACTCGGTCACCCCATGGTCCGGGACGGCCACCAGGTCGTCCATCACTACCTTGAGTGCCTTGGCACTCCTCCACTGCCGTGAGTGGATGGTTTGGAGTTTGTCAGAGGCTCTTACGCCCCTGCGAAGATCAGCGAATCGCTCCCTAAGGAGCTTGAAGAATTGAGGGAGAGGGGTAACCTTGGAATAGGCGACCATGTTGTTTTCACAACCGGCCGCGCGTGCGAGAGACCTAGCAAAACTAGCCGCTTCGTCCTTGAGGGTCTGGAAGGCTACCAGGACCTGATCGTCCTGTACGATGTGCTGTAAGTAAACGTAACTGTTTACACTAGCCTCCCAGTTATCGAAGTTTTCGTCAGATTTCCCACCATAAGCATCGGGGAACTTAAGTTTGACTGGTTCTTTGCGAGGTCTAGCCTCGCCCTCAGCAGCGGCTACTACTTTGGCGCCCTCAATGGCACCCTCACAGAACTTCCCCACGTTGTCTCTCAACCTCCTGACTTCCCCTCCAACGTGGGTAACCATCTCGCGCGCAAAATCCAGAAAACCGGACCGCATGGCCTTCAAGGGCTACCTCTTGAGCTCTATTGGCTTGGCGTTCCTCCATCCAAGCTGCGCTCAACACCTCCAGGTACCCCAACACCTTATCCCATTTGGCCGAGTCGTCTGCCTGAGCCTCCACCTCCTGCCTACAATCCTTCATCTTCGCCACCTCTGCGGTCAACCTGTTAACCTCATCCCTCCTTCTCTTCTTTTCCCTCTTCATTCTCAATTTCCACTCCAACTTTTTCTCCTCCTCTCTTTCTTGTCTTTCCAGGGGGTCCTCCATTGCTGCTAGCTCATTGGCTAACGCATCCCTCTCATCCTGAGGCACATAAAACTCTGCCTCCTCGTCTTCCCCCAACGATAAATTAGCGATCCACTCACTTATTTTCTTCTCCATTGCGGCATCCTCATTTGTCGTGCAACTGCTTTCTCCTCTCTCCTCTATATGTTTTTTGCTCTTTTCTTCTTCTGTTGCTGCTTCCTCTTCGGCAGCCTTTCTCTTTTCTTCCTCCTCCTGCTGAATCCTCGTCATCTCCTCCTCCAATTTCTTCCTCTTCGCCGCCTGCTCCTCTGCGATCGCCTTCAACTTCCTTTCCTTATTTTCTCTCACTAAGGCGGCCATCTTCTCTTGTTGCTCCTGGGTATAGGAGCTAGTGCTCTTCCCACTACGGGTCTCAACCATGGTGTCAGTGCACGACTGGATTAGCAGTTCCAAACCTCACCACGTAGACTCTAACCCCTGACTGACAAACCTACTGACTCAATCTAAGACTCACAAAATCCGGACAGGGATCCTGCCAACTAGGGTCTCTAGCCTGGACCTATACTATGGTTGTCACTACTAGACCTGTTGCTGATCAGGAGGCATTTAAGGAGATCCCCCGTAACTCCTCAGGAATTATTTAACGTCGCAGACAGGACGACGTGATCAGCAGGTCTCTCAACACTTAGACGGCCTGTTGTGCAGCCCACAGCTCGGATTTTGGGCCTACCGTGCCACACCGAACAGCCCGCCGGTCAGTACCGGTCCTTGGGAGGATTCGTGTCCTCCGGGACAGCCGAGTCGTCAGACACAGTCTTTAGCCCTACTCAGCCCGTGTGGGTTTGGTCAACAAGGCCCTATCCTTGATCCACAGAGTTCTATCACCTAGACAGAAGAGACTCGATGCAGAAAGAAGAGACAGACAGACTGGACTCAGCAAGTACCACAGGGTGTGTGCACATCCATAGGGCGAGGGATAGGCTGAAGGCTTGGCGAGATTTTACTAGACTTGGATTGGGACACTATGCACTGTGAGACAATTGATAGAGCAGTTGATTCAGTCTTCATCGCAGGGTCAGGAAAATTAATTGGGTTTCTTAGGTAATGCGAAGCATGGACTGGACAAAACGGCGTTGTTCCAATGGTGGACACTTTTAGGAATTATCTCCACGCAGCAGCTGGCTGGTTTTCGTTTCTTGCATGGTGTGGGGTATGCTAGAAAGCAGAACCCCCTGGCCACGCAGAGTGGTGCAGAATGGCAGGCATTTTGTGAAGAGGGAAATGATGCATCCAGCCTTAGCATTGCCAGAGCCGGAGTGGTGGGCTGCCCAAGTGCAGGGTGTATGTCAGGTGACAGCTCAGCCCGAAAGTGCAGGTCAGATGCAGTTTGGACATCCTTTTTCATTATTACCTCCTTGCATTCCCGTTTTTTTTTTTCACCAACATAACCGCCACAGGCTGCCACACAGGTCTTGGAGCTAGAACTAAACCCCCACAAGTGGAACACGGCCCCAGGACAGAATGATGTTTCTCTCAAAGGGGGGGGAAAAAGCAAATCTGGACAAGGAAGATGGGGGCGGAGTGGGGACGACCAGAGGACGAACAATACCCAGGAAGGGGAGAGACTAACGGAGGGAGAAAGGGAGGCGAAAGGATCAGGGAGTCACGCCAACTTCGGTAGGAGAAAGGAGTACATCAAGCGACACCAGTGCAAGCAAGAGCTCTGCGCACTGCGGGGAGAAGGGAAAAGCAACCGCAAGTGGAATTCAAAACCAGATGGAGGCAGCGAGGGAACATTGAGCAACACCACGGCAAGCAAGAGCTCTGTGCAGCAGAGAGAAAGGAAGGGAACCTCCAAGTGGAATTCAAAATCAAAGGGTGGGGCGGGGAGGAGAGGAAAGGGCGACGAGAGGTGCACAGGCACGTTTACCGAATTGCAAAAGGAGA